ATGAATAGTAGTTGACTTATTCGCCCTTGTGGTGGTGGTGGTGGTGGTGGTGGTGGTGGTGGTGGTGTGTGTGTGTGTAAATACCCATGCATGTGTGTGCACATGTACATGTAGTGACTAGAAGTTAACATCATTATTGCCCTCAATTGCTCTTCCCCCCCTTTTTTTGAGACAAGGTCTGTCATAGAGACCTAGGCTCACTGATTTAGCCAGGTTGGGTGGTGAGTACCCCCCCCCAGTGCCCCCTCTTGGATCTGCCTGTCTCCATGCTTCCCCTCTATCAGCTGCTGTTATCACTGATGCATGCCATCATGCCCAGCTTTTAACCCAGCTGATGGGGATCTGAACTCAGGTCCTAACACTTGTGCGGCAAACACTGTTGACTGAGCCTCCTCCTAGCTCCTGCCCTCTGTTTAATGCATCCACTGGTGGGCAGTAAACTGGCCTTGTTTAAATCCTGGCAGACATCTCTTGCATTATTTTCAAGCTGGACTAAAGCACCTTGCAAAATGGTTTGGAAGGCCAAGTGGTCAGCTAGTCCCTTCATCAGGGGAACCATTTTTTTTCTAAGTTCATAGTGACTAGTTCATAGTTATGTTGTATCATGTAACACAGAATTGTGTGTGTGTGTGTGTGTGTGTGTGTGTGTGTGTGTGTGTGTGTGTGTGTGTAGACAGAGTCTCACTCTGTAATCCTAGCTGTCCTTGAGCTCCTTCTGTAGCCCAGGCTGGCCTCAAACTCACTACAGTCCTCCTACCTCAGCCTCTAAAGTGCTGGGATTACAGATGCCAGCTCTTGTCTTCCAGAATTGTGTGTGTACACGCACGGAGGTCAGAAGACATCTTTTGGAAGTTGGTTCTCTCCTCCCACCATGCAGGTGCCAGGGACTGAACTCAGGTCACCAGACTTGGCAGCAAGAGTCTTTTACTCACTGGGCTATCACGCCATCCCTATCCCAGAATTTGTGTTCACTGAGAAGTGGGCAGTGCTGGGTACCAAATTCAGACATGCTAAGCACGTGGCACGTAATTGGCTCGTTTGCCTGATCCCAGTTTGCAGGTGAGAAGACTGAATTTATCAGAACTCAGAAAAGGGGTTTAGCCCAAAGGGAAACCCCTTGGGATTCCCCTCTGCCCATGTGTCTTACACAACATGCTGGAGCAGACCTACCATCGGCCCCAATCTTCCCATCTCCATCATTGTCCGCTGCAGCCATCAGGGACTTGGTCTCTGACTCAGTCAGCTCTCTAGCATCACTCTGGAACTTCTGGAGGAAAAACCTAGAGCACCACAAAAGGCTGGTGGCGAGTTCCTGAAAGACCTTGTGCTCTCTGCCCTCCCTCCGTCCCTCCCTTTCCCCCTCCTATTCTCCCCCCCACCCCCTGTCCCCTGCCCCTTCTTCCTCTCTCCTTTCCTTTGAGTCCATGTATCTGACAGCCACAAACATCAGTCAAAGCCTAGGTGGCAGAGCTCTCCTTTGTCATAGAAACCAACGCCAGATGTCTGGGTTGAAGTTTCATTCGCCAGAGGAAATCCCTCGAACAAATCGCTCTTTGTACCTAGTCTTTAGTGCCACATTTAGTGCCCCGTGTGGGTAGAAGCGTGGCCAGTTTACAGTCTTTAATGAAATGCAGATGAATATCCAGTGCCAGAGCTGGCCATGGAGAAAGCACTGAGCACACGGGGTACCTTGCACCCCAGCCCCCATGCAGCCATGCTGAATTGCTCAGTCCACAGCTTACTTGAGCTCCTCTTCATCCAAGTACCCACTCTGATCATTGTCAATGAACCGGAAGACATCCTTCACTTGGCTGGCGGACATCTTGGAGAGGCCTGATGTCTGGAAGAACTTTTGTGGTTCAAAAGTGTCTGGGTCTAAAGAACAGAGAGGTTATCCTGACTCTCAGTGGATCGCATTCTGTGTTTGTGCCTGGGTGACAAAAGCATAGGCTATTAAAATACTTTCCTATCGTCACTGAGCTACACGGACACTTGACTTTCTCAAGACCCAGAGAGCCTAGACTAGGTGGTCTGTGATGTCACCTTGTCCCCTCTGCCCCAGGTTGCCCTCTCCACTTGATTTTGCCCACCTCTCCTGGCTCTGCTCTGTGCCTTCCCCTATCTCTCCTCACTGAACAAGCTGCATACAAGTCCGTGGTACCACGGGGGTGGTTGGTGGAAGACAGTGGATTTGAACAGGCTCAAGAGAATAAGTGCACTGACTTACTCTTGTTCGTTTGTGGCTAGCCTGGAACCCACTATACAGCCCGGGCTGACCGTAGTATTGAGCTCCAACCCCATCCTTTCTACTGGGGTTTGTTTTTTCCCCCAGTATTGCAAACTGAACTCTGAGCCTTGTGCATGCAAGGTGAGTGCTCTACCACTGAGCTACATTCCCGACTCCCACTGACTTTTTCTCTCACTCCTTTAGTAAATGTCTTTCCTCTTATGTAAACATAACCACATACTCAGGTCTCAGAATCCCTCTCATGTTAGCGGACTAACTTACAGCAGTTCCACTAATGGATCCTGGAATCTTTCAGCAAAGTTTACATTTTACTCTTTGCTGCAAGTGGGAATCCACGCCAGCCTCGCGTCTCCCTTCAACTTTATTATTATTATTGTTTGTTTGCCTGTTTTTTGAGACGGGGTTCATGAGTCCAGGCTGGCCTCAGGCTCCCTATGTAGCCAGGAATGATCTTAAACTCCTGATCCTCCTGCCTCAATCTCCCTAGTGTGAGGAATTCGGGTGTATATCACCTGTCTTTGCAATGGAGCAGTTGGAACCCATGTCTTCATACATGCCAGGCAGGCACCCTATCTACCAAGCTGCAGCTACAGCCCTTTGTTTTGATTCGGAGGCAACCTCTCACTCTCAGTCCAGGCTGCCCTGGAACTTGCTAGCCTTCTTCTTCAGCCCCCAGGGTGCCACCACGCCCTGCTCCTCCGGTCCCCTTCACCTTGGCATTCCTGCAGGGCTGCCGCGATGTCGTCAGCACTAAGCACATCCGTGATGCTCATTGTCCACCTGGTCACACAGAATAAAGGAGATGTGAGCAACAGCGATGGAGAAGATGGACATGTGGGAAGAACACACAGTCTCAGCCACTCGCCCAACCCTGTGTGTTTCTAGAATTTTAAAATGTGAGAAGCACCTGTTGAGTGATAGGACAGAATACCCAGATGAACCCAGATACAGAAAATACTCCCAATACTCTTGACTCCGTGATTTCTCCTGAATTCATTCCAAAATTGAAATAAAAAAAAAAAGGCCAAGATGGACTTGATGTGCACACCTGTAATCCCAGGACTCAGGAGGCAGGAGGATGAAGAGTTCAAGGACATCCTTGGCTACATAATGAACTCCAACCCAGCCTGAGCTACATGACCTAGTCTTTAAATAATCTAAAACCAAATAAAAGTTATTTTCTTAAGGTCCAACCTTCCTGTAAAAATTACACTTACCTAATCAATCAGCATAGCAGCTATGAGACATTTAAAAATCAACCATGTTATAAACACAACAGCTTTGTCGTGCATCAGCCAGAGAATTGCAATACTGCAGACCCCTGCGAAAGACTAGTCCTCCCAAGTGCCAGCCAAGTTTATAAGAAAAGATTTCTGAGTAGAAAATCTACAAGTCTAATATAGTGCATGTAGAGAAGGAGATCTTGGGGTCTGGGAAGACCACCAGCTACTCACCAGTTTAGATTTAAAATCAAGAGGGGGGAAAGAGTTGTAGGGATAATCGAAAGACAACCCTGACAGGCTCTCACTACCTTATATAGGGTTGAAACTGTGATCGTTACAACCTCTTAGATTTCACGTTCAAGGATCAAGTGTGTGTAGCTCAAGTGTCTTTACCTTAGTAATGAAACCACGCACAGTCCCGGTCTCTCTTTTCTATTTATAGAGATGTGGGTAGAATCAGCCAATTAAAAAAAAAAAAAAAAACCTCAACAAACCTTAACTAAGGTTTCAATTCTGCAAACAAAGCTGGTTGGTAAAGTGTGGAGAAGATGCTGGAGGCCTGCTGGGCAATCTATAAAGACTCCCCAGATGTTAGCAGTGGCTGTTTGGCAAGGTCTGTCTTTAGTGTATGTGTGCGTATGTGTGAGGCTGACATCAGTCTAGGAAGGAAAACCTCAAAAGTCAATGTCACCAAGGCCTTGGTTACATAATTTTCTTTTTCTGTTTCTTTCTTTCTTTTTTTCTTTTTCTTGTTTTTTCCAGACAGCATTTCTCTGTGTAGCCCTGGCTGTCCTGGAACTCACTCTGTAGACCAGGCTGGCCTCAAACTCGGAGATCCACCAGCCTCTGCCTCCCAAGTGCTGGGATTAAAGGTGTGAGCCGCCACCACCCAGCACATAATTTTCCTACCAACATCTTGATTTGGACATTGTCCTGCTAAATCTGAAACCACACATGGCACACAATGTGCCCGTGTTCACCTTTGTTCTTTGACACAGACATGTATTTCAGGCTGACCACAAACTCACATGTACCTAAGAATGACATTGAACTTCTCACTCCTGCCTCCATCTCCAGAGCAGAGCATTGGGATCCTAGCGTATCCCACCATTCAGTGCTGGGCAGGTGCTCCACCAACTGAGTTCCACTCCCAGACCCAGCACGTCTCTTTTTTGGAAATGCCATGTTTCTGTGTTGCCCAGGTAGGCTCGCAATCCTGCCTCAGCTTCCCAAGCCGATGGCTTTATGGCTACGTGGATGTGGATATATGTGTGTTTACATGTTTGTATGTGCGCACACACATGTGCAGACAGAGGTCAGTGTCCAGTATCTTTCTCAGTTGCCCTCCACTTTATTTTTTTGAGAGTCTCTCCCGTGAACCTAGTGCCCTAGGACTTAGCCAGACTGGTTGGCCGACAGCTTGCAGGGCTCCCTGTGGCTCCCCCACCCAGTGCTGGGGGTCCTGTGGCTCCCCCATCCAGTGCTGGGGGTTAGAAGTGCGCCACCAGCTCCAGCGTTTTGATGGAGGTTCTGGTCCGCGTGGGTGGGTCCCCATGCTTGTGTAGCAGGCACTTCACCCACCTCCCCAGCTCTCCTCACTTCTTCCAAGTGTGCATACAGAACAGTAGAGTCAGCATTGTGCAACAGAACGGAAGAGACCTTTCTCCCCTGGGATGTTTATGGACTGAAGACTCCTCCCCTACAGAGACAGCTCCTTCCTGACTAGCTAAACCTGCCCCCTTCTTCAGCTGTAAACAATGACCCCACCTCCTTGTTTCTGTATATAATAACCCGACCTCCTTGTTTATCTGTATGTAATAGCCCCGCCTCCTTTTGTGTATCTGTATGTAATAGCCCCGCCTCCCTATTCAACAGTTTACAATAAACTTGGTATCTACTGAGGCTTCTCCATCCAAGAGCCCAGACCATCCAATCCCAGCTTCTCTGTGTCCATGTATTTCTTCCTTCCTAGTCACCTCTAGTCAGGGATCCAGGACCCAAGCTGTGCAAAGATAAGGCACATTGTAACAAAAATTAAGGACACTATGAGTGACTAATCAAGTTCTGTCTGTTGGGGTCCAACTGTTACAAAGATTCCTGTTTGCCAGAAACAGTGTTGGGAG